ACATCCTCTGATCACGGTTTCTTCCATGAACTGTGCAGCCCGCAGCAGCTCAGAAGCTTCGTACCATCAGACCTCATTCCTGTTGATATAAATACATACTTGGGGCTGCTAATGAAGCCATGTGCAGCAGTGTGTGTATATGTGCGTGTGTGTGTGCAGAGACAACAGCAGCGGCGGCAGAGATGAACGCTCATTGATCCCTCAGAGGAGCCACAGCTGCTCTCTGCACAGCATCTCGTTATTAGTCTAAAGCTTTTAAACACCTCGATTGGCAGCCATTCTTCATGATTACTGCTGCTGCTGCCATTTACACACAGATTACAGCACTGTCGCAGGCTGCAGGTGAATATGTAGGATTTTACAGCAGCCAGGTTATTAACCCGGTTACAGTGACCGAGAGAAGCAGAAGAGGAAGCTGGCAGGAAAATTCTCATTTTATTAAATACTATATTTCTGTTCTTTTTAGTGCCATAAAAAGTAACTGTGAAGAAACTGGTGTTTTCTGTCATAATAAACTAAATCAGCAGAGTTTTGAAGAGGAAACATGAGCAGCAACATGATGCTCATTAGAGTTCACACACATCCTGTGAAACACAGCTCCACATATACGCTGCTCTGCTCCCTGGATGTACATTTCATCATCTATCAAAACCATGTCACATGTTTGTAACATGCTGGTGTGTTGAATTCCTTTCCTGTGAAGTGCCAATAAAGTCACAGTAACGTTTTTTTTATACCTGGACCTTAATTTCCAAAAGAAGCTCAAGCTCTGACAGTAACACCCAAGTAATTAGGTGTACCTCTGGTATACCATGTTATGGTGATGTCTGTATCATTGTAGCTGTTAAGATAACTAGCAGAGGCTAGTCAGTTTTGTAGCTATAGCCCCTTTTCCACTGCCTGTTCAAGGCGGGAATATAACACTGTTATGCTGCCTCACCGTTCTGTATATAAAAGTACAAAAAATTGCAGAAAGGCGGGGGCTGGGAACGGAGGTAGCAACAGTGCTGAAACAATGTCTGTATAAACAGGACAGCTGGCAGGATGGGATCATGGGAGGCACAGGTGTGATGTTTTGACGACATGTTATGGGTGCGACCCACTGCAGGAGATTCAAAAAGTAGCTGTTAGCGGTTAGCAGGTAACTCAAGGAAGAAGAGCAGCTGCAAAAAAGTCTGCAAATTGGGAAAACAGTGAGGTCCAGGACCTCCTTACCCTCCGAGAAGAGGACGAGATCAGCTGCCATATAACAGGGACGGTAAGTGATTGTCATGTTAATGTTTTGTTATATGCTAGGTGCTATACCGTAGGCTCAACTGGACTTGTCTGAGTTTCTTGAAGATGTTTTGCCTCTCATACAAGAGGCGTAATTAAGGGCGTGGCTGCTGAGAGTGGCAGGCTGTCTGCGTGGCGTCACCACAATCTTTGAGTCACATCCACCCCTCGCTTCCCCACAGCTCCACCTTCTTATCCAAATATGGTCACTTCTGGCTCCAAATATCCAAGATGGTGACGGCCAAGATTCCAAACTCGAAGCAAACATGGCATTTATTTTTCATTTGCCTGGTCAAAAAGCTGCATGAGGCACTGCACTTGAAAACAGAGTTTACTTGCCCCAGTCGGATGTTAATGTCGAGCGCTGAGCTGCATGTTTGGAGTCAGTTTGTCAAGTTCATTCAGTGTTGGCTTTCTGTGTGACGTTGCCTTGCTCACTCAGTGAGCCTCATATTCAAACCTGCATTCAGCTGCGCTATGTGATTACCTTCAGATGGCATTAAGCCTATTCTGAGTCAGTCACATTATAATGTATCAGTAATAACTGGTGTTCTGTCTGCCTGGGTGGCTTATAGTGAGCACAAACACTGCCACAGTCCATTGTTTCCTGGTGTTGTGATGTGATTATGTAATGGTAATGAAATTTGGTCTTTTATCCCAGGCTGTCTTTAATCTCAAGACTGTGACAATGGTCATCCTTGAACCTCTCTCACTGTGCAATGTAGGACCACTGTGTCAGAGCTACGACCAAAGACATCACCACGTTTCTGTCACATTTGTCATTTCTTGTCTGGGACAGCCAATAATCGCATGTGTATACCAGGCTTTACAGCTAAAAGTGTAATCCTCTCAACAAAAAAACAACAGCACTGTATCAAGTATTAAATATTAAATATTAAATAAATCTTCAACTCATGACCATAAAATAAATATCTTTACATTCACTGATTCCCAATCAAAGCAATCTTTTAAGAATTGCTTGACCTAGTTAATATGAATTTCAAAACTGTTTTGAAATGCAAAATAAAGGAATTCTAAACATGTAACAAAAAAAGCTTTTAATCTTTATTAACTGTAAGAGCCACTGAAGCATGTATTTATATTTAGTAAAAATGTCTGCATTGATATGACATTTAATAAAGGTTCTGCGATTATTTAGGTTTGCACAACAGTGTCTTTATATTTTGAATAGCATATGGTAGTGGACGATACTAACGTCAGTTTATATTTACTTTATTTATGTGACAGATCAAAGTTATCTACGCTAGGTATAGTGCTATAAGGTGGTTTAGTGTGCATGACTAAAAGAGATTGTGAATAATGTCTTGCGTAACAACATATTCTCACTCTGACCTCATCACATATTGACATTTTGGTCATGGACTTTCCACGTCCACATACAACGTACAAGGTATCCTGGGTGTGCTGGTTGTTGACGTTCTGGGACGCCGTGTCAAGTTCTCTTCTTTCAAGATACACTTCTGTCTTTGCAGGAAATTTACATACAGTCTCTGTCAAAATAAAAGCACTACATTGGTACAATGTAGGTGAATTGATGTTCTTTTTCGTTCAACAGTACACACACATGGTTGGGTTTAGGAAAAAAGAACAGGGTTTGGCTTTGGAGTCTAAAGGTGCGGACACACCAAACTGACATCAAAGAACTAGCAGCGACGAAAGCCAACTGTTGCGTCGTCTACGTCGCCTCACGTCACCCTGTGTCAGTTGCATTTGAACACACTACACGGACTACATCCAACGGCCAAGTAGCACGTACGTTCTGCGCCTGCGTGAGAGAGAGCGGAGTGAGAGAGTGGTACATCCTGTCAGCCGAGGGGTTTCCTATCTGTGCAGCCGAGCACCGCAGCACCTCCACGGACTATTACATCCAGACGGTCCCGGTGTTTCCTCCGCAGGCTCCACTTCACTCAGCTGCCCGATAAACCCGCTGCTTCTTCCCACTGTAACCTGAATAACAAACCAGGGCTCGGTGCTCCGGTTGGATCCAAACGGAGAGCCGGGGCTAGTTCAGAGACTAGCGGAGGCTAACTGGCTGTGCTTCCCTCCGGTCATGCTGTGGCTAACGCTCCGCTAGCCGCTCCCAGCTAGCTCCGGTTTGTTATTCAGGTTAAAGTGTGAAGAAGCAGCGGGTCTGTGGGGCAGCTGAGTGAAGTGGAGCCTGAGGAGGAAGCACCGGTTAGCCCCGGTTTCACTACAGGCAGATTCACTCGCTACAGGGGCGAGGAAATAAAACCTGAACAGCCAATCAGAGTGATCTCTTTCACCGACAAGCTCCGCCGCAGATTCAACATACTCAATTGGTCGAAAAGCCGCCGACGCCAAAGTGCCAACGGTGCGGGACACACCGCAAAAACTAGGGCGACAGACACTCACCGATGGCCCGACTTTGGTCGACGGCCGACCGTCAGCTTGGTGTGTCAGGGCCTTTATAGAACGCAAACATCGCTCTCTCGGGTGAAAGCTGGTGTTTGTTGGACCCATCCTCCACCACTCCTGCCTGCTCCACTTGGACTTTCACCGCCTTAACTTTCGTTCTTGTCCTGCCGCATTTCCCCCTGGCACCGCCGGACGCTGTTAAATTATAATGGCAACCAGACATGTCAACGTTACAGGACGCCTTTTTTCAGTGGTTTCTGACGCCACAAGTCACTGCCCAAATGCCGGATTTCGACGACTTCAGAGTGGCACCGGGCTCTGTGTAAAGGAGGACAGGAAGTTTGTGTTGGTTTGGATCGTAAAAAGCGTGTTCTGCAGTGTTGAAGTACAATGATAATATACAGACACAGGACATCAAGTCAGTAGTGGACTTGGTGAGATGTGATTTTGGAAGGACTTGGCCTGCCCTGCCTCATGTGAGCTCTGTGGAGCTGGAACAGAAACAAGTCAAACCTAAGTGGCCTAGGAACTGTGGTGTGTTGAGACGGACACTATGTATTGAAATTCAGCACTTAATTGTGATTCAAAAAATTCATCATTTGACAGCTCTATTACAGAGAGGAGAAGAAATAATGTATGTATTAACTGCTTATGTGTACTGTCCTACACAGGAAAGCATTCACTTTGTGTGTGTGTGTGTGTGTGTGTGTGTGTGTACTACAGTAATGATGACCAAAGGGGATTCTACAGATCTTTTAAGCCCACATAAACAAACTTACAGAAGACAAATCCTCAGTCACTGAAATGAGGAGACTGGCTTCCTGCAGTGGGCCTCCACCCTCCACTCCCCCACAAATGGGCCATTTAAGTGACACTCCCACACCACCGCACAAACTCGCTGTGAATGCAGCCTTAAAACACACACATCGCTGATCCCCAACATACATGTTACTGCTGATGTATTTTAACACACCCTTTACAATCTAATTAATGTCAGAGCTCGTCGTGGTACGATAACATTTTAATCAGCGAGAGCAGAGAGCCTGATTACCTCACGGTGACCAGCCGGGGAGAAAACAGCGTCGACTTCTGCTGTAATTACATCAAGAGTCAATTACATGACCTCTCCTCCTGTTCGCTCATCAACACACAGCGAGTCAGGAGCACAGCGAGTTTAAAAACCAGCAGCTCAAAAACCACAGCGTCTACCATGGCTCTTCGTCCAACCTGTCCTCCATCACTCAGGGGACGTCTAATTCGTCTCAGCTGGTTTTCAAAGTAAAGCAAAACTCTCAGATCTCACCTCAGCTTACAGATTGTTTTCCTACCTGAATCTCTGGAGATCTGGACGAAGGCCTCCACGCCACTCTCGCCGTAGTTTCCCTCAGAGGCGAGCGTGGACACGTAGTTCCAGCCCATCGCCGTGACGATGTCCAGCATGGCCTGAGCCTGGTAGGAGTCTGGAGGAACTACGCGGGAGAAGAAGTCATAGCGAGTGTTGTCGCTGAGCTCTGGAGCCGTCGAGGCGTAGCTGATCTGAGGGATCTGTGGAGACACAGCGAGAGATAACCGTTAGCTTCAACTCACCGAAACAGCAGCCATACTCTTAAACGCCAACCATTCACTAAAGACTCTGAAACGACTAAAGTCTGAACCCCTGTCACGTCTAAAGACAATGTGAGTTTTAGTCACACATTATAAGATTTTACAAAGACTGGAGATCCTGCAGGGTCACTATTTCCCATCCTGCTCCTGGTGGAAAACATTACACCAAACTCCCTTTAGGAAATATGACATATTAACAATTCCTTATAGGTCTGAAAAAACATACAACTCTACAAACACAAGATAAAAGGTGTAATTTGTCAACAGTATCCTTGTTAATTTGGCATCAATATAATCCATAAAGATAAAATGTATGTGTATACAAAGTTTACATTTTAGATTTTTATCGCCTCACTTGCTACCAGCCCTCAATTGTTAGTTGTGCTATAAGAGTGGGAGGAGACAGTGGGAATAAGAGGAGAACAATGTCAAAAATGAAGACTTCTCAGTAAAGTAAGTGCTGGTTGGTGGATCAGATACAACAGAATTAAACACAGACTCTTGTTCACTCCACAGCTCCACCAGTTTCTCCTGCTTTTTCCACGAGACTTGTTCAGGTTCTTGTGCCTCCCCAAAGTTCGGTTTGGTGCTAAAAGAGACCTTACGAAACTTACGATACGATATGATACGATACGATACGATACGATACAATACATCACAGCCAGGAGTAGAGATTTCCAGACACCTACTACACATCCTTTACAATAACACCAACAACAAGCGTAGACCAGTTTGGAGAAAGGCTAGTGGAGCCAGTTAGAGGATATTGTCACTACTAAAGAATACAAAACTAGAATTATCACCCCCCAGTTGCCTTAAGGTGTTCTTCAGATATCACAGTCACAAAAATGAGACAGACAAGGTCACAGTAACCTTGACTTTAGACCACCAAAATCAAATCAGTTCATCACTGTGTCCAGGTGAACATTTGTGCCAAATTTGAAGAAATTCCCTTAAAGCATTCTTGAGATATTGTGGGACGGATATACGGACGGACAGACAAGCTGATAACATAGTGCCACTGGCCAAGATATCACTGGCACGGAGGCATAAAAATAAATGTAAGTTCTTAGAAGGAGTCTGCCATGGAGACATGCGAGAAAAACAAAGCTTCCTTTAATAATTCAGTGTAACACACAGCCAGTAACTGATTTACAAACCGTCTTCACGGGTGGAGTATTCTTTTGATACAATGCTGTCCTTGATTCTTCCTTTTGTTGGCTTCTCTTCTTCCTTTCATCAAGCACAGAGAAACTGAGGGCAATCATGTAGCTGCAATATGAAGCATGTCTTAAGTATGCATGTGTGAAATTACATGCTTCACACTTGCATACATATGACATGCTACACACAAGCCGCTGCAGTGCCTGTGGCATGTGAGAGATTCCCTGCACTGAGCGCACAGCTGCAGAAACACAAATCAACAGTGCACGGACAGACAAGACTGTAGCACCGCGTAAAACACAGCGTCAAGCCAGATGCTGCTTGGACTTTGATGAGCTCCGGCTCATGCTGTTATGATGCTGGTACTTGGAGCAGCCAAAAAGGAAGACAGAGGAGGAAGAAGAAAAAGCAATACAGCAATAATTTATTGCATTTTATAAAACAAAATAGTCTGCAAATAAGTGCTAATATGATAAAAAAAAGTTTCCATTCAGCACAGTTTCAAGATTAATTCAGTATCTGACCAAATGTCTCCCCCTCTGTTCCTGACTTATGGCCAGTGAAGAGTTTTTGCAGAACAATCTAATCTTGCAGTGATGCTGACCTTTGACCTTTTGGAAATAAAATGCAGCTCATCATTTTGTTGTTCTTTGACTTATTTTACTTTATGATCAAAAAGGTCACACTAACCTTTGACCACCAAAATCAAATCAGTTCATTTTGCCAAATTTTAAGAGTCCCCTCAAGGCGTTCATGAGAATGACATGGATGGATAACCTGAAAACATAATGCCGTAGCTGTCAACAACACAGAGGCATAATAAATGTCTTATTTCAGAGGTTTCAATGTAATCCTGATCAGGATGACCCCGAGTATAAGCATATATAGGGTGGCATCCCTGATATGTTTCATAAAAACATTTCCTCATTAAAATAAAAAAAAAATACAGTCCACATGAGAGTTTCTTTCACAACATATTTGCTGATTCAAACCTGCAGCATGTGAAGTAATTTCTACAAGACAGAAATGAAGGGAGGAAGAAATCTGAGCTGTTGATATGCATGTTTATATTCTGCACTTGTATGATTGTATTGTTACTTTATGTGAAGCCCATTGTGCTGCCTCATGTACGATGTGCTAAACAAATAAAGCTTGACTTGACTTTCAACACAGAGGCGGAAAGAAACCACTGTTGTCAAGTTTTTGAGGGATGGTACTTTTTTTCCAGTTTTTATGCCTCCACGCTGACAGCCATGGTTGGATGCATTATGATTTCAGGCTGACTGTCCCCCTGGCCATCTGATTCTCGTGAACGTGAAATCCCAAGGACACCTTGAGGGAATTTTCTCAAATTTGGCACAAACATCTTGAACTTGAACTCAACAATGAACTGATTTGATTTTGGTGGTCAAAGGTCACTGTGATCTCACAAAACATGTTTCTGGCACCTTGAGGGAATTTCCTCTAATTTGGCACAAACGTCCACTTGAACTCAGTGATACAGCTATTTGTTTTGGTGGTCATAGGTTAAAAGGTCAAGGTCACTGTGACCTTGTCTGTCTCATTCTCATGATATCTCAAGAACGCCTTGAAGGAATTTCTTCAAATTTAGCAAAAATAATGACTTGGACTCGAGGATGGTATGACTTGATTTTAGTGGTCAAGGGTCAAAGGTTAAGGCTGCTTTGACCTTGCATCCATGTCATTCCTGTTGACACAATATCTCAATAATGCCTTGAGGGTCTTTTCTCAAATTTGGCACAAACATCCACTTGGACTGAAGAATAAACTGATTAGAATTTGGTGGTCAAAGGTCACTGTGACCTCACAAAACATGTTTTTGGCCAGAACTCAAAATTCTTAGACTCATTAAGACAAAACTTCACACAAATGTCAAACAGGATAAAATAATGAAGTGGTGACATTTTATATCCAAAAGGTCAAAGGTCATCTTCAATGTGACATCATACTGTTCTACATAAAACGATTTTCTGGCTATAATTCAGCGTCATATCTCAGGAACAGAAGGGGAGACATTTGGTCAGATACTGAATTAGTGACTCTAATCTTGAAACTGTGCTGATTGTATAGATCTTCTGTGTGTGAAGCATCCATGTTTTCACTGACATGGATGGAGACTGTCAGAGACACTGGACAGGTGGACGGAGGTATACAACTCCAAAGTGCTAATTCTAGTTTTTTTCCTTCTTTTTCACATTACTAAAAAAAATCTGTTTGTGTTTCTTTTCTCTGAGTCTTGTTGAAATGTTTGAGAAACAAATCAAACTACAGACTGGAGACAGGAAGGTAGAAAACATCAGCAGCAGAGTTTTCAGTCAGATTTCTAAATGTTGTTTGGTGTCGCTCTCAAACATCCTGCAGTATATTTGTTGAGATTTAAACAGATCAAGTTTGAACCTAAATCCTGACCTTCCTTAGCTTCCTGTTGTTGGGGTTTCTTGTCAGAGTGGAGTTAGCGAGCTCTGCTGTGTGAATTAGGGAGGCGGATCAGGTCATAGATCCTGCAGCAGACAGGCCCGACAGGCCCGGCGGGGCTGGATAATGGTCCTTTAGAGAAAGATTGAAGGGCTGATTGATTTCACTTCAGTCAGAGGCCGGCGTGTTGGGCAGAGCGCCGCCGGACGCCTCATCAGGATTCACAGAGGAGGAGGGAGGGGGAGGAAGACGGACGGCCGAGGGCCTGACAGCAATACAAATGTCACTCTGCTCGACTCGCTCAGCGACAGGCAGCAAATTAAAAACCTGTACTGTAAATACAAACCTGTCCGAGAGCTGACGCTATCACAGCGCCGCAGCTTTAACCATCAGAGAGGAAGTTTATTTCTAACACAAAGAACACGTCTGAGCTTCTGAAGTTTTTTTTATTTTAGAGACTTCACACATCCTCTGTTTATCTGATGTTTACTTGGGAGTACTTTGGAGATTCATATTTTCTGTTTGATGTAAGATAAGTTTACAATGTAAAAATTCAATGAGGAATGAAGCATCTTCATCGACAGTGCAACATCACCTTCTGATTTTACTCCACTGTGGATTATGTTCAGGCACAAAACAATATTGTTTCAATAACAACCACTTCAAGGTTAGAGAATGACAGTGGTAAGAAAAACTCTCATCGCGGTCACAGGTAAGAGAAACCAGTGCTGACAGTTTAATGCCATATGAGCAGTGTGAGATCCGAGCATCTACAGGTCGGCAAACTCCAGTAAATAGTCTGCACCAGAATGTTTTGCTAGCCAGCAGAAACACTCACACTAGAGCAGCGTCAGCCGTTAGTGCAAGTTGTGAGCTGTAATTCAGCAGTAAATAATGAGCCGTGTGTGTCTGACTGTGGATGGTGGAGCTGCTGAATGGATTTCTGGAGTTTGTTAGTTGCAGCGGTGGCTGTTAGCAGCTAGCTCCACTCGCAGCCAGCAGCCGCTGGACTAGACAGCTTCACCCCGCAGGACTCCACTCAGTCCGGACTGGAGAAGGTTTGTGGGTTGATGGTGTTTGACAGGCAGGTAGGAGGCTCAGTTATCTGTGAGTGTAGCTGTGCTGTAAGTAAACAGTCTGAACTCAGATCAGTTTTCTCTGACAGAGACGAAAGTTTAGTTTGAATCACCAACTCTGTGAGAGGACACCAGTTTAAACCTCCAGACTAACATGTTGCACATGAAGAAACAAGTTATGTTTCTGCTTCTTAACAGTCACATGGATAAGTCAGAGTTTACAATGAACCTGGGGACAAATCCTAGTTGGCTCACATTAGTTAT